CAAAGGAAAAGATGGTGAAGATGGGCAGATCAGCGAGGCCTCTGAAAGGGCTCTGCCTCCATGACAATTCTGTTGACCAGTGGGCTCCGTGAATGTATTTCCTTTGTAGGAATTCCTCGCTGTGGAGAAAAAGCATTTGACACATGACTAATTAGTCCTCAGCCTTGGCAATCCTACCCGCAAATGCAACAGCTGGGTCATTTCATGGTCAGGACTAATCGTAGTTCCTGCAGTTACCCACCGAGACAGGGTCATCCCTCCCCTGACTTCTGATGGAACCACAGAAAACTTTCTCATCCTGGGGCAGCAGGGTGTGGGGACGGAGCCAGCTGCTCCTGAGGAAGCACCGTTAGGGAACCTAGGTTACTCACTGCTCTGGCCGCACTGGCCCTAGAAGGGTCACGCCCCGCCTGTAGGTCCAGTAGCTGTCATCTGGGCGGGTGATAAATGCATGATTCCTTCTCCCCCTTTCTCCTTCCATCAATAAGTACTTAATGAACATGGACCGTGTGCTTCTATATGCCAAGCACTGCTCTCAGCACTGGGGGAATGGGTTCAAAATACACAAGAACCCCTGCCCTCACGGAGCTTGCTCTCCAGTGGCAGAAGCTGATAGAAAAGCCTATGGCCATCAAATAGAATGACGACTGGTAAGATTCTTTGAGTTCCTTTCAAAGAGCCAGGTCCTCTCCTTGATCTGTAATGGTTTATAGAAACTTCTAAATAACTTTTCCTTAGATACACTGGTGTGTTAGTGCAGTCAGCTAGCAGTGGGTAGCACATGTGCCCCTTGATGGCTGGGTGACCCTTGCAAACATCAGTCTCTTCATCTGTGAAATGGAGGTGCTCATGCCTTCCTCACAGGGTCATTGTATTCTGAGGTGCTGGTTGGGCACAGTGCCTGTTGTACAGTAACATGTTCTGCTCACCATGCCCACCTCTTTTCCTACTTATAGCACACCTGGGTCTAGTGAGTCCCCCACAGAACCTACACACAAGGCAAGAACCAGGTATCAAGGGTAATGAATATGCCATGAGGAATGGACACCCAACAGAAGCCGGGGCCCTGCACCCCACCTCTCCCTCGCCCTGCCTCTCGACTGCTACCTCTGGAAGAGGTAGTCAACCCCAGTGGCTGAAGAGGCTTGCCTGGGGTCTATTCTTCACAGTACTGGTGAGCGATCCCTGCCTGTGGCCCGGGCAGGCCCTTCGGGAATGTCCTTCACCCCCAGCAGCCAGCAGCAGTGCCTATGAGAGTGGGCCCCTAGCATGGTGATCAGGCACTGGATTTTACAGGCTTTGTTTCATTCTATTTTTCCAACAACGCTTCAAGTTCAGTGCTATCAACGCCCTATCTTACAGTGGAGGAAACTCAGGCTAAGAATTTGCCCCAGTCACTTCCTTAATATGTGACAGAACCGTTTGAATTCAGGTTGTCCAACTCCGGAGCTGTGGTCTTACTCTGAGCTATGCTCTTTCTCCTCTCTGTCATCTACCTGCCCTCAAAACCCCACATCACATGTGCAGAAGCAGAGGCTTCTTCTGGCTTTGGGGAGCCCCAGGGGCACATGGACACTTTGCTAGCTTACCTGACTGCTGGTTTCAACAGCTTTAAAAGAGACAAGGAGTCACTGAGAACAATGCCACAAGGGAGAAGATACCCAAGGAATTGGAAATCCACAGTGGCACAATTGGAGGCACCCCAGTGGTCATCTCTCTGCATCCTGCCTTTTACAGAGGAGAAAACAGGCCCAGTCAGGGGAGTGGGGTCTCTGCGGACAGCACTCCTGACTGCCCTGCAGACTGTCCATTGGTCTCAGATGCCCTGCACCCAGATACTGGCATTGAAAATGGACTTAAACTCAGCCCCTCCACTTACCAGCTGTCCATATACCTCTTGGCAACTGACAGAGTCACTGAGCCTCCAAGTCCTCTTCTGCAGGTTGTGGACACTTTAGAAATAATGTGTGTGAGATGCCAGTATAGCAGCTGGCACCTGCTAGGTACTCAGGGAAAAGTGGCTATTATTATCACTCTTGTTTTTGAAGTTCAACAAATGTTAGGCAACACTGAGTCTCTTAGGTATCACTTTGATTCTGTGATTCTGCTGGAATCCATTCCTAAGACCAGAGAGGAAACAAAGCTCATGTCTTCTCTGAATACTGAAATCCATCCCAGGGAGGGTTCTGCTTCTATTTGGGTTTAGATTCTGGAAGAAAAACCATGGCCTATACCTGAAGGGGCAGCTGCTTGTGCCCATGGCTATGGCACATCGCTGAACCTCTGTCCATGTCAAATTTCTGTTGGGTCACATGACATGGTAATTAGCGGCTCTATAGCCCCCACCCTCCCAGGGAAGTGTATGTCTATCTAAAGTAGGGCTGGCTGTGAAGTCTGTCACCATCCAGAGAGGACACACTCCTGCAAGATGTTTCTGGTGGTGGTAAGAGATGGGGAAACCTCTTTGGGACAGAACTGCCAGGGAGTGAGAATTTGGTTCAGATGCATAGCATCCTCACCCAGGGGAAACCTACCAAATGGCAGCTCCTCCCTCCCTCTCCTGATAGTCCTCCTCTGCAGCTCTGAGAACCCACCCCTCCACCCCCCACCCCCCCACCCCCACCCCCCTCCCAGGTCAGCCTCACTTCAGTTTGGCATAATCCAGCCTAATCTTATCTCGCATGCCTAGGGCTGAATTTGGAAACGTTTACTAGGGGTTGATGAGGTGTCTTTGGATCCCACATCCTCTTATCTGGTTCTTTCAAGTCCAAAGGCAACTGAGCATACAGAGACCAGGCTGAGATGAGGCCAGCAGCCTATGGCAATAGAATATTCCCCAAATCTTTCTGCCTGGCAGACCGGAGAGCCTGTCTAGAAGCAGGGGGGCAGTACCCTTGCAATTCCAAGTTCCCTGTTGTCTGGAAATACCTGTGGGACCTGATTGCTAAGGAACAAGGTCTCCCTGACCTGGCAGAGAGAACATGACCACTGGGTCTGCCTGACTCCTATGGGAACCAGACAGTACTGCCTTGACAATGATTTTCTCCATCCATGCAAATGAACCCTGGCCCCAACTGCAGTCGACTCGCACTCCCTAGGCAAGAGAGGCCCAGGAGAGCAAGACTGCCTACTCTGCCAGGGCCAGTGGGCATATATGCCCTATTGTTCCTCACTGCCAGCTGTTGCCTTAGTCTCTGCTACTTTGACAGATTTTGTGAGCCGCCCTTTTGTGTATTCCCTCTCTAGGGTCACATTCTTGATTCTTGCCATTTTTGAACTTGTCTAGGTACCCCCAGGGTTAGTTGAATGATGAAGAGGATACTGTGGTTTTAACAATGATCTTGGATTTTCTGCAACAAAAAGTCCATGAGGGTTTTCTTCATTTCATGCCACTCCAACAGAAAAGGAGTGAGCCGTCATTATATGCATGGTTCAGTCGGGAGAACTGGACAAGTGGGAACTAAGTAGGGTTGACAGGGATGGGTGGGGGAAGGCACGAGCTGTGACTTCACTGTTTGTCAAGTACCCAGAGTAGCTTCCTTAGGAGGTGTACTCTCTCCAGGTCTTCAGATGAGCCTGCAGCCAGCAACACCCCCTGCCAACTCTGCCTCAGGCATTCAAGGACCTCCTGAGTCCAGACTCACCCAGCCTGGCCAACCTCAATTCCCAAATCCTTTCCAGCATCCTGGGTCCCAGCAATGCCAGGCAGCTTTATACCTTGAACACATCAAATCGATTCTCTGGGCCTTTGCTGGGGTATTCATGCAGCCCATATCCTCCATTCCTCTCCCCCCTTCCTTCCCCGCCTCTTCAGAGTTTATTCAAAGGCTGTATCCACCTTTTATGGGAAGCCTTCCCTGGCCCACCTTGCAATAAATTATTTCTTCCACTGTGATCCTTACTTGGTTTGTTTATTTAACATCTATTCATGAAGTGTCTGCCCTGTGCTCTATATTGTGCTGATCTCCTGGAATTAATTTAGCCCTCCTTGCTTCGTGCTTGGAGTGACAGTAGGTTTTCACTCTAATTCCCAGGGCTGGGACAGAATCTCAATTTTTGTGTACGTGTTTCTCACCACCGTCTTTCGTACTTTGTCGGAAGTGGTTTCCAGATGGTTTCTAAACTGGGCTGTGCCCCACCAGTCGTATGACCCCAGGCGAATCTTCCTGCCTCTCTGGCCTCCCATCTTTATGATGAAATGGTGATGATGATACCTCAGGGTTGTCCACAGGACAACGAGGCGGGGTGGAGAGAAGCATCATGAGAGCCGGGAGCCCCGGGTCAGTGGGCGATGTGGCGTGCCTGCACCCCCACTCTGCTTTCCCGGGCTGGGAAGCAGCGCTGCCTCCCGGTTGCTGTCTTCCAATGTCAAGTGCACCAGCTCTCCATCCTCCCCGGGGCGGGCCCTCGTCCGGCCGCTCTGAATCCTCGGCTGCGGAGGCTTCCAGGGCCAACTCGGGACTCTCCTTTCGCCCACCGCCCCTGCCCAAGGATTCGGCAAGCGCCCCTCGGACCCCGCGCCTCCGCGCAGCTCAGCGCTCAGCCACCATCGCAGCTGCGCGGCGCGGGCCCGGGCCGGGGTCGCGCATCTCCAGCCGTTGACTCAGGGCCGCTCGGTCCGGGGGTGGGTGGAGGTAGGCGGGACCGACCCGGGCCGCGCGGGGGCAGCCGCCGGGTACTCGGTCGCAGAGCGGCGGGAGCCGAGGCGAGCTCTGGCCCGTCGCCATTCCGCCGCGGGCGCCTGCCTCGTTGCGCCTCCCTCCCGCGTCGCCCCGCACCCGCCGGGCGCCTCTCCCGGTGCGCAGCGGCCCGGCGGCCGCGGGGGCTGGAGCGCGGGGCGGGCTCTGCGCGCGAATGAATGGGCGCCCGGGGACGCGCGCGCTCGGGGCTGAAGGGCATTAGGACCGTGAGGATCGCTCGGGGCTCCTGTCTCTCCCTATCACCCCCCCGCCCCCCACCTCTCTCCTGTTCTGCTCTGCAGGACTGAGCAGCCGGGCGCGAGCGAAAACAAACAGCTGGGGCTGCGAGCGCCCCCGCCCCGGCCCCGAGACCTCGCCGGCCCGGGCCCCCAGCCGGGGCGCCCGCCCGCCCACCATGAGGAAGATCCGCGCCAACGCCATCGCCATCCTGACTGTAGCCTGGATCCTGGGCACTTTCTACTACTTATGGCAGGACAACCGAGCCCACGCAGCATCCTCCGGCGGCCGCGGCGCGCAGAGGGCCGGCGGGAGGCCGGAGCCGCTCCGCGAGGACCGCACCATCCCGCTCATTGTGAGTGTGCCCTGCGCGCCGGGCAGCCGGCCCGAGAGCCGCGGCGCGCATCCCGGCCCCGCACGGCTCCGGAGGGCGCCGGGCCCGGCCGGGGGCTGTGCGCCCGCCGCTCCCCGCCGGCTTTGTATGTGTCGGAGCATTCCTGCCCGTTGTTATGGTAACCTCTGCCGGGCCGGCAGGGCTAAGGCACTCGCTTGGGAGGTGGGGTGACAGGGGGTGGGGGCTGGGAGAAAGTGCTGCAAGTTTGGTGGGCCCGGCGTGCGCGCGCGGCTGGGAACGTGGCGGCTCCGTCGGCACTGCGCCTCGGGGCCGGGGGCCGGGGGCCGGGGGCCGGGGGCTGCCCGCGCCCAGCCCGCTGAGGAAGGGGGCCGGCCTCTGCGCGCAGCTAGCGGGCGGTGGGAACCGCGTGCAGCGGAGCGCCTGGTGACCACACGCACCCCTTTGCCAGCCTCCTGGGGGCAAAGGACTTCAAGTGGGGGCTCTGGGGAAGGCAGAGTTCCTTAGGAGCTGTGCCGGACTTTGAACACTCTTCCCAGCCCGCGCCAACTGGAAACTGCTTCTTTGGCACGGAGGACTCCCCACTAACACCCCCACCCCGGGTTCTCTGGATCGGGAAAAGGTCTTGCTCTGTACAAGCCCCTCACCCCAACACTAGAGTTTATCGCCACTCCTGAGCGCGCACTGTCTGCCCGGGCGCGAAGATCCCCTTTCACTGGGTCAGCGCCGTCAAAGCCAGCGGGGAAACAAAGGCGACGTTGCTCGACTGGGGCCTCGGCCGAGCTGCTGGGGCCCCTCGGCGCTCCTGGGACCAGGGTTGGGGATGCGCAACCCCCGCTGCCCTGCAGGGGGCGTTCCTGTCGCCGCCTCCGCCCGGGCCCCGGGTGACAGCTTGTAGCCGGGGCACCTGTTGAGGCGGGAGGCTTTGGGACCCGCGGCGAAGCGCGCTCCGGCGGCGCGTTCTTCCGACGGGCACGTTCTTCCAACGGGGGCGGGAGGTAGGCGAGCGCCTTCGGCAACCCTCGGGATGAGCGGCTGGGCTGGGGCATCTTAGCCTGAGGGGGACCAGGAGGAGAGAGCGAAGTGCGCTGCCCTGGGTGGAGGAGAGCAGAGGGTGGCCATTCTATAGTGAAAAGATCTAGGTCTGGGGAGGAAGTGGCTAGGGGCTCCTTGAGGTTGGAAGCGGGGGAGAGGCAGTGCAGGGCCAGGAGTAGAATCTGAGATATTTGTGCAAAGGTAGCTGAGCCCCAGAAATGTGTGTGTATGTGTGTGTGTGTGGGGGGGTGATGGACAGGGTATCGGCGTGGAAGCACTCTCATAGTCCTGTCCTGCATCAGATTCCCTGTTTTGTTTGTGCCACCCAGAAAGAAGTAAAAATCCCTTACAAAGCATCCATGTTTCCCAGTTTGGCCTGAGGGGACCTTGGGGTTTGTGGGTGTCCCCCAGTCTTCCTCTCCCAATTCCCACATCTCTGTCTGCTTGAACTCTCTTGGGAGCAAACCCAAATAGGTTGGGTGCTCCTTTCTGGGCTGATGATCCCTGTCACTAAGACTGTTTTCAAAGCAGGTCCTGGATGTTAGGACAGAAAAGCTGATGAAATAAAAGCATCCCTTGTAAAGACCCCAGAATGTGGGGATCTGGGTGGACTGACAGAGTGGAGTGGGAACGGGCAGATCCAGGAGTAGCCCCAGACCCCAGGTAGCCTCCACACTGTGAAGACATCCCGCTGCTCCCTTCTCACACCCTGAGAGGCCAGCCCCACCTCAGGTTGGGCAGGCTGAGCCCCCAGGGGAGAGGCAGGCAGACCAGATGTTCTGTCCTTCTCTGTGGTTGTAGTGATGGGAGGAGGGTCTGGCCTGGAGGGAGAACTGGAGAAGTGTTGTATGCAAGGGGAGTAACACAGGGGAGATGCTGCTCCCAGTGGTGTTTGGGTCTCACAGTCGTGACCTTGTTGGAGGGCCTCTCTCCTGCTTCTCAGAGGTTGACCCAGAAGCCACCTGACTGAGAACCCCCAAGCTGGTGTGGGGGAGGGCACTGCTGGAGGCGAGATGTGGAGGGACAGAAATTGGAGGTCATGAGGGAGCTCCTGGGAGCATCCTCGTTCTCTCCTTGTTCCTATGGCGTTTGACTTGCTATAGATTAGAAAAGGGCTGTGAACAGGTAGCTCAGTTTGAAATGTACAGGAATATCAGGCACATCTCTGGGAGCCAGAGTGGAGTTGAAGAAAGTGGGGGGAGAGGAAGTTCTCAGCGCCTTCTCGGGCCACACGGCACAGCTATTCATCTCTGTTATTATTAGCCCTGGGGTGTCTGTTTGTAGGTACTGGTCCCCAGTTACACAGTGCCTTGGACACCATACGCCGTATTCTTATATTCGAGGTATTTCACATCAGTGGGATTCTCAGTCATCTGCCCTGTCTGTTCAGCTAAATGTAAGCTACCACACAGGGACTGTGCTAGAAGCTTCTTTCCACCTTACATTGATGCACACAGCAAGACTTAGTAAGTACTTACAAGATGAGTGAAGTCAGATTTTTGCCCATGTCTCGGAGCAGCTCCAATTTGACTATATCTCCATGAGCTGAAACCTTTGTTCAACTTACAAGGGCCAGATGCAGCTAAGGGTTTACTTTCTCCTTGAAATCTGTGGTTTACCTCTCACCCACCTCTTGGTCATTCTAAAATATCACTGTTTAGTTGGGCCAGGATGCTGCATGTGGATTTTCAGATTCTTAGAGAATGATGTGGCCAGCCATGCTGACAGAGGCTGAGAAAATTCAGACAAGCGTCATCATCACTCCCCTGGGGAATCAGAGAGCTGAGCTGGGAAAGGGAGGGTCTGCATAAGAGCCGGGCCTGGAGGCAGCCTGCCTTCCCAATGTCTGGCCTATTCGAAGCAAGCCAAGTTGTTTCTGGACCTTGGAATCGCTTGTTTGGCATTGTGGGGTGTCGGCATGGCAACCGTAGGGCCCGGATTTCTCAGACAGGTCCTGATTTTTAATATTCTGTCCTGCTGTCAGTCCATGTGTTACAAATTTTGATGGGAATAATTTTATTATGGAATCTGTAAAACTAAAGGGAGGTACTGACTCCCTCCCTATATAATTGCTTACAATGTGGCAGGGTTTGTAATCTTTCCAGGCTGTGCTTTGAAGGGAAGGCAGTGGATTTGAGTACATCCACTTCTGTCTACATTGATGCACGCTGGCTCACTGGCTCTGGCAGCGGGAAGAACTTTTGTGATTGGTTTGGTGTCAGGTTTTCCATATGCTAATTCTCTGACAGGCGCTGGTGGGATGTTAAGGTGTTAGACAGAAAGACAGAGAATTTCACCTTACAGACATTTTTTAAAAGACTATCCACAAATGAGATATTCTCATTGTGACACGTCTCCTATTTGGAACCATGAAAATTTTAGGCCAGCATTTTCATAAACCAGAGTTTCTTACCCTCTGGGATACTTCTGAGTGACCATGCATAAAATACTTAACCTCTCTGGACTTTACTTCTATTATGGTTAAATTATTTGTAGGGCTTATCCTTAGACAAACATTAACTTCATTTCTAGAAGCAGGTCAGTGGCCTTACAGGAGCTCTCCTGAAGGATAGTGTGTGGTTTGTTGCTTGAGAGGGACTTGCCAGTCAGGAGAAGGTCCTGCGTGACCCTCACAAGGGTCCTGCTTACCCAGCAGAAGAGAACACAGCTGATGGCTGTTCTGGAACTGTTTTCTGAGAGTAGATTTCAGTCAGATCTGGATGAGCTTATATTTTACTTGTATTATGTGCATTTTAAGACTGCGGGATATGATTTGCCTAAATGACAGACAGCGATTTCCCTTTTTGTGGCTGCAACATTATGTAAGTTTCAGGTGTGCGCCATGGACCGTGGGCATGTGTGCAAACCAGGTTAAGTTAAACAGCTTGTTACATGTCTGATTTTACCCCTCACCGTGCCATTTTCTCCTGTGTCCTGATTTACCTTCCTACCTACCCCTTTCCCTTCTGGTAACCACTAACTGGTCTTACAATCCAAACGTTGATTTTCATTTTATTTAGTTTATCTGGAAAATGATTTTCTATTTGTCTAGGTGCCACACACAAGAAAGAGGGCGGGGGCAGGAGAAACAAACACCTGCAATTCTCTTTGCCAAAATGTTCAGATTGAAAGGGTTGATTTCCATGACCTGGATCCCCTCGCGTGTCATGTTGAGGCCTGTCACTTGGACTTGGGCACAGCTCAGAGTCACCAAGACTGGTAAGGGCCCCAACAGCCCACCTTCCTTGGAGGCTTAAGGCCCAGTGGCACAGGGTTAGTTTTAGGGTGCTGCTCATTTCCTGATGGGCCCTTTAGCTCTGTGCCAGTTTCCCCACTGGCTGCCCCAAGGGCTTTGGCCTGACTCTCCTTTTAGGTGCTGTTTGTTGCCTGTGAACAGAGGATGCTCTTGGGTCTAGAAGTGCCATTGAAGCCAATGTAGAGGGGGCGCTGATAGGCAAGACTGGGCCAGATTGCCCCGAGGACAGTCTTACTAAATTGGAAGTCAGAGGTGAGCCTGTAGCCGAGCAGTTCATTAAGTTAGAAGATTGAAGATTTATCTGCTGTCTGCTTCCCAGGGAGACCTGACACACCTTCCCCATGAACAGTGGGGCACAGACACAAGGAGGCCAAACAGACGGGAGACCTAAGGCTTCCAAAAGGATCAGGGGAGCAGAGCTTTCAGGCACAAGTCAAGTAATAATTTACTTGAGCAGTGAGTCTGATCACAGGTCAGACGAGGGTGCAGGACAGTCATAGATGGCTGACAGCCCCTTCTTGAAATGGCTTCCAGTGGCTTGGTCTCTGTTCTGAAAGCTTGGTCTTTGAGCTGCACCAAGCAACCTCCGTCATCTGTCACCTTCGCGTGACATTTTTGGGTGACTTCCTTCATTGCCTTGTAAAGTGTTTTACAAACTTTCACTCTTTTGAATCCTCTCCACAACCTAACAAACTAGATCCTATTGTTAGGT